GGGGCCGTGCTAACGAAGAAGGCCATACAATTATCGTCACAGGATGATGCCACGTCATAGCATATGGCCTACCCATAGCCAACTGAGGGGGTGAAATATGGACATTTTCTTCCGGGGCTACCGTCTTCCCCCGAACACAACGCACCCATATTTTGGCCGTATCTGGCTGGAAATATAGCTTGTATACATTCATTTTAGGGTCCGTTATGTTCGGGGGAAGACGGTAGGTTGAAAGGGGGGTTCTGGAGGAGCTGACGGTTTGAAAGTGCTCTGCTCACCCTTAGGTAGGGGGACTGGCAGGAACTCTTTTGGCTCCGTTTCCGCTGTGTTTGTCAATCTCACTCCCGCTATCGTGGTCGATCCACAGGTCAGGGAAGAAACCAGAGGAGTCCCATCTGCAGCCATGCAACACTGGGGGCAAGGTCCCACTGACAAAGAGCCTTGGATGTAACTCTGGAATCTGGACATGCTTTAGGATCAGATGCAAAAAATGATAGTGATTGTAATATTGTGCACCTTTACACAAAGACGTCCAGATACGGGCGTTCGTTCCAATCCTCTTTGCTAGTGGGACCTCGCCCCGGAAAGAACGGAATCAAGAGAGAGACATGCGGGTTGGGCTGCAAGACAGAACAGAGGAGAGGAAAGGCGAATGGGTAGACACACGCAACATGCAGAGACGTGCAGAGAAAGTAAGAGCAAAGCAAAGCCATCAATCAGTCCACAAAACAGACGAAGATGAAGAGGAGAGGGAGGAGGAACAGGCACCAACAGACATGAAACCAATTTTTGCACTTCCTTTCAAACAGACCCCTGCGGCCGGAGGGAAAGGGAATGCAATCTTTTGTGTTCAACCCCGCCCAGTTATTGTTGCCGACCCTTTTTTTCATTATCAGAGCAGGTGATGGACAAAGTTATTTTTTTTCTATACTTTTCTCTCAACTTCTGTTTCTTTACCTTCCACTACCTACTCCTGATGGACAGAGTCACCTCCATCAGGTTTTTTTTTTCTATTTTTTACAAAAACTTCATATGTTGAAGATCCCGAGGTGATAAGAGCAGCCCGTTACGTGGGTCCCGACCTTGAAGGCTTTTGTAACCCAATCTTGACCACAAGCGGGTGTAGTAGATCTTTGACTGTGTCTGGGCTGGGGAAGAGGGAGGGGTTTCTTTCGTTTGAACAGTCAAGTTCTTGAGTGGGGGAGTGGGTGACAGACCACATGACCAGATGGGAGGGCACTAGACACTTATTTGGCTCCACAGCATAATTGTTGGATGGGGGACTTGGTATCACATTCGGAGTACTCGATGTGATTTCAAGGATCTTAGCAAGAGCAAGAAACAAGGGGGAGACAGACTTCAAAAGGAGGGTAGAAGAGGCGGAGGACCGCATGGAGGCTCACCCTATCTCGCTGATGGTATGGGTCGCAGAGCGCGAAAGGAGGCTAGCGGAGTGGGACAACATCCAGGAGGAGAAGCAAAAGAGATGGACAGATGTACTAAAAGAGAAAGGCGTCGATACGCATGACAGAACGACAAAGGAGACGTTCCAAAAATTACAACCAAGTCGTATGCAGCAGCAGATGATCGAGCTCAAGCACCCGTTTGACGAGTCTGCCCCCCCAGTCTGCTCTACAACTGGGATGTTACAGTACGCGAGGATGTACTATGAGGACATACTTACCTCCAGGCGACCGCAGGAAGATGTGAACGTTGACCTGTCAAGCGGGTCCAACATGTGGGACAACACGGCAGACAAGTTGGACTTGGACAGACCTTTCACGGTGGAGGAACTCTCTCAAATAATGAAGACAATGACAAAGGGCGAATCACCAGGGGTTAACGGTCTCTCGATGGAGTCTTACGCAGCGAACTGGGGAGCGTTTGCTTCGCTCCTAGTTGAACGCGACAATGAGATTCTAATGGGGGGCAACTGAAGTTGGGGAAAGACATGATTCATGGTGTGATCACGGTCCTATTCAAGAAGGGAGACAAGGCAGAAGTGAGAAACTGGCACCCAATATCCCTTTTAAACGTCTCATACAAAATCCTGGTGAAGTCGTTGGCACGCAGACTATCCAAATACCTCCCGGAGCTGGTGGAGAAGGATCAGGGGGCGTTTGTGCGAGGACGCTCGATTTTCAACCATATGTGACAACCATAGAGTCCCTCAAAGTGATCCAGGAAGAGAACCAGGACATGGCGGTGCTCCTGCTAGACCTGGAGAAAGCGTATGACAAGGTAGGTTGGACATTCGTCCTTACCACCTTGAGGTGCACTTGGGTTATTGCGATGTACACCTTCTCCTCATCAGCAGTCGTGGTCAACGGGCATCTGTTCACTCCGTTCCAATTGCCAGGATCGCTCCTCCAAGGCTTTCCGCTCGGCCCACTAATTTCGTGTTGCAACTAGAGGGTCTGCTAAACAAGATTCACAGCCAACCAGAAATCAGAGGCCTGCAGCTGCACAATGGGAATGGTTGCAGAGTCAAGGCCCTTGCGGACGACCTCTTCATAGTTAGCGAGAACACGGTTGCCTCGCTCTCAGCTCTCAAAGCGGTGTTGTGCAAGTACTCGATGTTATCGGAGGCAACAGTCAACTGGAATAAATCTACCTACCTGTTACACACTCCATTCTCGTTGAAGGTGGAGTGGGGCATGAGAAGGGTAGAGGAAGGGGAGGAGGAGAGATTTCTAGGGATTTGGATAAGTTTGCAGGTAGTAGATGTGTTCGGCCAAGGGCTTCAATTATAACAGAGGATTGCAACACGTCTCTGGCTGTGGGGCTCGACCTGGCACCTCTCACTTGTAGGGAGAGCTCAAGTAGCCAGTGTTGCCTTGTTCTCTACTCTATGGTTTGTCACCACGGTGAGGGAGCTTGCAATAGGTCTAGTGAAAGCAGTTTGAAGGCTGGCTGCGCTGTTCATATGGAAACCTCGCGCCAGCAATGACGAGGGCTTTATTTCCAAAGTGGTGATGGACACTGACATTTCCATGCGCAAAGGGAGGATTGGGTCTGATAGACCCGCCCCAAAGGAACCAGGTACAACTACGTGGTTGGGTATCCAAGACCGTGGTGCAGGGTCGGGTTGAGCACTAGGTCGCGCTGGTTGAACATATCATAATGAAGGATTGGGGCATGTGCAGACCCAAAGATGTCTGGGCATGTTTCTTCATGCCATCACTCAGGAAGAAGGGACTAAAATCGAGATTTTGGGAAGCGATCTGCAAAGCATGAAACAAAATTCCCCCGGACGTGCAAAGCACCCTGCTAACATAGGAAGAAGTTATGAGTCGGTTACTCTTTGAGAATCAATACATTTTGGATCTCACTGACTTTCCTTTGCCCGCCGATGGCTCGAAAGGAACTTTTGGGTTAGCATGGATGAAAAGGGGTGTAGTCCGGATCGAGGACTTGTGGTCTTGGTTGCTAGGAGGGTGAAAACCTCTGGTGGAGGTAAAAGAGACAATCAAAGGCCTACAAAGAATTAAAGAACACTGGAGACATGTAATTGAAGCAATGCCATAGGACTGGTTGAGGCTGTTTGGTCTCGGTGGAGTAGACCCCTCGAATACCTAGTACATCTTGAACCTGGAACTGGAGACAAACGTGGTGTAGAAGGTGATTGAGGTCTTCCCCAACAGGTTCCGGAAAGTGCAGAAATGGCGTAGCGGAGGTCCCTCCAACACTCTGTCTCTGATAGAAAAAGAAATAATCATGACCTGGGACAATCCTGCGGAAGTCAAGGTGGTGGTGCAAGGCAAGAGATCACTCACCAGGGTCCTTTCGTGGATTGGCATCATCCCTCTGCGTCATCTCGGCATAGGCCCAATCTGTGTATCTTTTTAACGGAGAACGCAAAAAATTGAACGCGCGTTCATCCGTTTAACGGGCCCCCGACCCCCGTTAAATCGCGTTAAACGCAAAAACGGGGGTGTCGCGTCGAATTCCGAAAAACGAAATTCGCGCGTTGGGCTTCGGACACGTGTACCTACGTGCCCGAACACTCAAACCAGAAAAAAAAAAATTTGGCCGCCATACCCCCCCCCCCC